GTGGGCTGACCTTCTGGGCCCTTCTGTCTGTCCCCAGGTTCATCAAGAAGTTAGAACACACCTGGAAAGCCCTTGTCCACGATGGGGTGAGTGCCATTCACATTCATTCATTCATTCATTCATTCATTCATTCATTGTACCCATCTGCCCTCTGCTGAGCAGCTCAGACTTCCCAGGGTGCTGTCCAGCCCAGGGGGGCCAGGCCTGCCACCTGTCCAGGCCAAGAGGAACAGGGGACATACAGGTGCCCCACAGCTCAGAGCTGGCCTCTGGTCTGGGTTCCACCTGGGAAGGGTTTCTTTACATGACAAGCTGCTGGGGGCCTCGTTCCCACAGCCCCTGTCTCTGTGATTCTTACTCAAGTATTCAAGACTACGGTAGACCGCAGACTCTAAGAGAGAATCTCCTCAAAGGGTCATTGGGAAGGTGCAGGTCGAAGCGTCCAGAATGTGTGCTAAGGCTGGGATGCAGTGTCATCCTGGCCCTCAAGGGCCTGAGGCAGGAGAAGCCTGGGTTTGAGGTCAGCCTGGGCTGCATGTGACCTTGTGTCTGGAAACAAGCCAAAGCCTGTGGGTGCACCCTCGGGTGAGACTGTCCCTGCCCCGCTGTGCTTTCCTAGGACACCGTCTCAGTCCACCGGCCCAGCTTCTATGCCGAGCGCTTCTTCAAGTTCATGAGCAGCACAGTCTTCCGGAAGAGTTCATGTGAGCTGCCGCCTGCGGGAGGGACACAGGGCCAGAGAGTCCCCAGCTGGGGTTGGGGGCAGATCAGGGTCAGCCTGCAAGCTCCTGTGAGTGCCAGGCCCCTGGACACTGGCCCAGAGAGGGGCAGGCCGTGAGGGGAGGAGTCGCCTCCAGGAAGCCGTGGGAGCCGAGGCCACCCCTGCCCTCTTCCCCTGCAGCCCTGAAGTCCTCTCCATCCAAGAAAGGGCGCGGTGCCCTGCTGGCCGTCAGACCCATGGGGCCCACGGCCGCTTTCTCAGCTAGCCAGATCCCCAGTGAGAGAGAAGACGCACAGTATGACCTGCGGGGGGCCCGCAGCTACCCCACACTGGAGGATGAAGGTGACCTGCTGGCCTGTGGTCTGGGCACCCAGGAAACCAGACCCTGAAGGAACCCTGGGGATGGGCCGGGGACACAGGACACATGCCAAGGCCTTGGGGCGGGCCTGAGCCCGGGAGGTAGCGGGAGGTGCAGAGGACAGCAGAAGTCGTGCGTCAGTAACAACCAGACTGGACAGGGTGGCTGAGGGGGGAGTCTGGGGGGGCAGGAGCAGAAGGCCAGCTCCTGAGGCCAAGCGAGGGGGACCCCAGTCTGCTTAGGCTTGCCCTCCACACAGGCCGGCCCGACCTCCTGCCCTGCACCCCACCTTCCTTTGAAGAAGCCACCACGGCCTCCATCGCCACCACCCTGTCGTCCACCTCCCTCTCCATCCCAGAGCGCTCCCCTTCAGAGACGTCGGAGCAGCCCCGGTACAGGTGGGTGGAGCTGTTCGGAGTGGGCGCTAGGAGCAGGGGGGCACACCGGCTCGTCACCGCAGCGCTGACCACCACCTGTGTGCCTTCCCCACAGGCGGCGCACGCAGTCTTCAGGCCAGGATGGCCGGTGAGCCCCCGCTTTCCCCAGGTCCCCATCCGCCTTCTTCAAAGGCAGCAGCATTTGGCATTGAGCTCCAGGCTTCACCCCACAGACACTGCAGGCCTGGCCGGCTTCCAGAACCTTCCGACCCTCCTGCATCTCAGGTCCAGACACCCGGCAGTGCCTGGCTCCCCAGCGTGTGGGCCGCTGGGCACTTGGCCACCTGCTTGTGCTGAGCACACCCCTCGGGCCCCAGCAGGACCCAGCGGGACCCAGCGGCTGCTCCCGCTCCCTCGCAGCCCCCAGGCTAGGACCCCCGGGACCAGGAATCAAAGGCAGCTCTGGGGTCAGGGTGGGAAACTGAGGCTGGGCCGTCCCCTGCAGGCCCCAGGAGGAGCCCCACGTGGAGGACCTACAGAAGATAACAGTGCAGGTGGAACCAGTGTGCAGTGTGGGGATCGTGGTCCCCAAGGAGCCCGATGCAGGGTGAGTTGAGTGTCTTCCCCATTCAGAGATGGTGACTTGACCTGGATTCTGTACCAGCCTGTGTCTAGGGACGTGTGGCTGTCACTGTCACCCAGGCCTGGCTGCTCTGTTAGATAAGGCCACGATGGAAGTGTGTGCACCTGTCCCCCCAGCACTGGGGGCTGAGGCAGGACAGTGTCTTGGTTAAGGCTTGTGTTGCCACAGTAAACACCATAAGCAGCTCGGAGAGGAAAGGGTTTATCATCTCAGGTCACACTCCGTCAGGAGGGAAGCTGGGGCAGGCATTGACCGAGGCCATGAGGGGTGCTACCCGGGAGCCTCAGCTGGCTTTCTTACGGCTTTGTGGAGTGGACCCTCCCCCATCAGTCAATCAAGAGAGCGTCACCATAGGCTGGGCATAGTAGCAAATACCTTTAGACACGGGAGGGTCCGAGTTCAAGGCCAGTCTGGTCTACAGAAGGAGTTTTGGGACAGCTGGGCTGTGTAGAGAGACCGTGTCTCAAAATACACACACACGTCAGTAAAAGAAGGAGGAAAATGGCGTGCAGACAGAACAGTCTGGTGAGGGCGGTTTTCTAGTTCGTGGGTCCATCTTCAAGGATGACACTGTCTTCTTGACAGAACTGGGCAGCACAGACAGCTGTGGGTTCCACAACCAAGAAAACTAGTGTCCCCCAAGATGGAGAGGGAGTTGATAGATCCAGTGAAGGCCGGGAGGGCGGGCTGCTCACAGAACCACCTAGGACGCCGCCACTGTCCTGTGTCCCCAGAGCGGAGGTCCCCCTAGCTGGGGCATCAGCCTCAGCCACTGTGGAAGTGGACGCTGCCAGCCAGGCCTCCGAGCCCGCCAGCCAGGCCTCGGATGAGGAGGACGCGCCCTCCACAGACATCTATTTTGTAAGTCCCCTAAGCCTCCCCAGCCCCCGTGGGCCCTCGTGCCCCCGAGGTACCTGTGGACAGTCACACCTGCCTCTGTCTGGTATCATCACTCTGGGTGACAGGGGCAGGGCCCCTTCTTGGCCATGGGGAAACCAGAGCAAAGACCCTATGTCTCCGGCAAGCTGGAGACCCAAGAGTGTCTGGTCCTTCTGGGGGCAAGTTCTATTCATGATGGTGGTGCCTGGGGACCCAGGGAGTGACGGGTCCGATGCCGCCTGCTCTGTGAGGTGGGGACTTGGCCCCTCATGGACAAGGCTGGTTCAGTCCAGGCCTTGGGGATCTGGGACCCTCAGTGACCCTCGTCCACCACGGGAAGAAACACTAGAGGGGTTGTGGGTCCAGTGCAGGGTCATGCCCTATAAATAGGTCAGAGCCTCAGCAGCCCCTTGGGGGTCCGCCGGCCTATCATGGTGTCATCTTTTGTCCCTGGGGCCCAGGGTTGTCCGCACACCCACCTGAGACCCTCACTGCTTCCTGACTAACCCACCCACTGTCTACACTGAGCCACTGAGGCCCGTGCCCCTACCTGGCCCTGCAGAGCCCCGGCTGGGGCCGAGGGTGCCCGTGGATTGTTGGTTCTGGCCTGGCAGTGCCCAGGGCTGCGGCATCGTGGATTAGGTTCTGGCCTTAATGGGCCCCCCCACCCCGCCCACACATCCTGCTTCAGTTGCTTGTGCCCGCCCGCCCTGCTCGGCCGCCCGCCCGCCTGTCCCCCTGCCTGGTTCCCGCCTCATCCTCTGCCCTCTCCTCTCTTCCTTCCTCCCGCCCGGCCCGCTGTGTGGCCAGTTCGCCCATGGGAGATACTGGCTTTTCTCTCCCCGTCGTCACCAACTGCGGGCCGTGACACCGAGCCACACAGGCACTGTAAGTGACCGCAGACCGTCACACGTGGAGATGGGCTCCCAGAACACAGCACCCCTCACCCCTTCTCTCTCAAATGACTGTGGAGGCAGAGCCGTAGGGAGGTCAGCTGGCCCTGACTGACTGGACGTGCGCTCGTCAGAACCGTCACAGCAGTGCCCATCTTCGGCGGGGTCCAAGGACCCCAGCCTGCCTGTGTCACGTGTGTGCACACTTCTTACCATCCAGGCTCTGCCCTTCCCTCTGCAGCCTACTTCACAGGAGGAGAAACTGAGGCTCAGGCCACACAGGGAATCACGTCCTCAGAGCCCCCATCACTGCACTGCTGGGTCACCTCCCAGTGCACATGACTGGGCCGCAGCACGGACCTCGTACCTAGGGCTGTCACCTCCAGATCACCAATGAGTATTGGCCCAGAGAGGTTGAGTGACATGCCAGAGCTTGGTGTAGCAGGAACAGCACAGACGGGCACACACCCGTCACCCCAGCACTGAGAGGTGGAGGCAGGAAGTTTGGGGATTTGATGGAGCCAGGCATGGCTAAGGTGGGGGTGCCGAGCCTCAGTCTGCAGAGGAGACTCTGGTGGGCTCCTTGCAGGAGGCAGACCGTGGTTGCAGGGCTGGCCTGGCCCTGGGAGGTCGTCCTGGGCTCTTTGTCCACCAGCCTTGCTGTCTGAGGCCCTCCTGTGCCTGGGACACCCCTCCCTGGGACAGGGCCGCTGGCCTGTGGCCCCTGTTCCCACCCAGGACAGTGCTGCTTGCCACCGTGACAGCCCAGGCTGGCTCCCTGGGGTTCTGGTTCTGTGGGAGTCCACTGAGGCTCGGCTCCGGTAGAACTGCAGGGCCACGTCCTGTGGAGGGAGCCCAGGGGACCAGGCAGGCCGGGTGGGGTACAATGGAGAGGAGGGGACCCCTGCCCCTCCCCCGCTATCCCGCCTGCACCCCGACGGCTTCACTAACTGCTTCTGCTACCACTGCTGCTTCCCCAGGGCTGAGGGTTGGGGGCAGGTGCCCCAGGGCACCGGGGTTGCGGCTGCTCCCCGGGTTGGGGTCCCCCTCTTTTACTCTCTGTCTCTTCCTTCTGCCTGTCCGCTCCTCGCCCCCGCTCTTCTGCACCCCTCCTGCACGCGCTGCGCAGCCCACCGACGAGAGGAGCTGGGTGTACTCCCCGCTTCACTATAGCGCGCGGCCCGCCTCCGACGGCGAGAGCGACACAGTAAGTCCCAGGCAGGGTGGGAGGACGAGGCCGGAGCTCCTCCCTCCCCTGCCCCTCCTCCCTGTACTCCTCACCCATTCTTCTCGCTCCGTTTGCTTCAACTCCTCCCTCCTCCCCTCCCTCTCCCTCCCCCTCCCCTGCTTTAGGCATAGGCATCTCTAGGTGTGCCTGCCAGGGGGGCCAGGGAGCCCAGGCCTGACCTCTGCCAGGGGGGCCAGGGAGCCCAGGCCTGACCTCTGCCAGGGGGGCCAGGGAGCCCAGGCCTGACCCTGGGCCACCCACACCTGCAGCCCCGAGGCTGCACCTGGAGCCTTGGTGGGAGGCTGGGGTCCCGCCAGGCCCCGCCCTCCCTCACCCACCCCTCTGGTTTTGGCAGTAACTTCTATGCAGTCCCCAGTCTGGAGCCCAGGGTCCTGCCACCCCAGCCACTCCTGGAGACGCTGCTCCCCACTGGGGCCCAGAGCTCAGCGACATCACCCCCAGGGCCCTGGCCCGACCTCATCCTCGTCCTCCCCACCAAAGGATGCCACCGGCCAGGCCTGTCCCCAGGATAGCTTGGGCCACCATCCGCCGCTACCTGTGCCTGTTGGGGCGGCAACGTTCAGAGTGCCCGATCCTGTATTTATTTTGGGTCCTTTCTTGCACGGAGAGGGAGAACAGGAGTGATGTTCCAGGAGACAGACAAAGACAGAAAACCCAGGAAGAGGCTGCAGCCGCTGGCCTTGCGGATCGGGCTCTACACGTTCTCCTACGTTGGGGACCCACCTCAGCGGCCAGTGGCTCCAGTAAAGCCCACTCTCTCCAGGGCTCTCCTGGTGGCCTGCAGAGGGGACAGGCCCTGGAGCCTCCTTGCCATCCCAGACTGTGCTCCTGAGTGGATGAGGCCACCGTTGCTGCCTCAGCGGAGCCCCTCCATCACCTCAGGTTTGGACCTGAGCAGACCAGAACTAGCCATGCCCTGTGGACTTTGCATCTTTTTACCGCCACAGGAAGGATGTCCCCAAGCACGAATGTCCTGCGGTTACAATCAAACCTGGCGCTGACTGGGAGTGGCTGTATTGCCTGCCTCCCATCCCCGTGAAGCCCTGAGTTGAGGAAATGGTTCCCTTCAACTCTCAGGGGACTCCCTGAGAAGAGCAAGACCAGGCTCCAGAGTGACAGCTGGGTCCACAAATGCCCCGGCTGAAGAGAACACCAGGGAGGCCCCACCACACCCACATGGGACTTCTGGGAAGTAGTGTGTTGGGAACAGTCCCGTCATGTCCCTGCTTCATGGATGCTCCACCCATGGTGTTCTTGTAGAAAGAGTCGAGCAGGAACATTCCGAAAGCCAGGCTTCAGCTCCAGCACACAGCCCTCAGGTCAGCCCCACGGGCCCCTGGGTTGTACCTTCAGGGACACAGAAGTCAGGACCTGGCTGGCTGACTGGGACCACAGCAGACGAGTAGAGGCATTGAGGAGCCTGATGCAGCCCATCCTGCAGGGGTGGATTTCCTTTGTGGCAACGGAGGGCGTGGAGCCCGGGATCAGACCCTTGCCGGTGTGCTCATGGGGGCTGCAGTAGATGTGATGGACAGATGCCTGCTCTGGACCTCCCCACAGTCCCTCGTTAAGTCTCAGGGCCCCTCCAAAGGTCCGCACTGCTTGCTGACGGGAGTCCTGTTTTGGGGACCTGCAGGTGGCAAGTGAACACCCATGTGGTGAGCCACTGAATTGACTCAGGCTACAAAGGCAACGTCTGGCCTTGCACACCCCTCCAGGAAGGCATTGTCATACCTGTCCTCCCAACACCTGGAAAGGTAAGGCAGGAGGATTGTGGCAAGTTCCAGGCTAGGCGGGGCTGCCGAGTGAAATCTCGTCTCGAGAGACCAAAAGAGAAAGAGAAAAAAATCCCAGGGCTGGCGCTACTGCTCCTTGGGCAGAGCTCACCCAGCAGCGAGAGCCCTGGGTTCCATCCCAGCACGTGGGAGGTGGAGACAGTGAGCAAAAGCAGTTCAAGGTCATCCTTGTCTGTATATCCAGTTGGAGGCTGGCCTGGGTTACATGAGACCCTCTCAAAAGAGAATCTGTAAATAACTTTGTGACTCCCCATCCTGTACCCCATCCTGGTCTCTCCAATGGCCTCTACCGCCCCACCGTGGACGGCGTGTGAACTGTACTGTAAGGACCAGAGGCACCTCCACGGCTGAGGTGTCCTCGGTCCGCCTCTGTCCCCCCAAGCCATCCCAGCAACTCCCCTGTCCAGCCCCACAATCACCTCAGTGCAATATACCCTCCCCGTGGGGTCCCTTGGCACGGTACTGTCTCCGCAGCCCTCCGTCCCGTCCCCCCCCACCTCTCTCCGGTGGTTAAAAATCGCATCGCACACCCTCACCCCGTCCTGTTTTTATTGCTGAATCCATTCGGAAAACTACAAACCTCGTGTGTCTTACTCATCAGGGCGAGGGAGTCCCAGGTCCTCAGCCCCTGCGGTCTGGTGTGTGACAATCCAAGCACGGTGTCCCCCGGCACCAACCAGGGGGCCTTGTCCCTCCAGTACAGCCGCTGCTGGCCGCCGCCGCCGCCGCCGGCATCCGTATGCAGCCCAGGTTCCCGCCCCACCCGCCACAGTCCCTCTTTTGGACATCTCTAATAAATCGGGTATAAACAGCTGGCCTCCGACGACTTCGGCGTGCCCTGGTGTCTGGGGTGGGAGACCCGGGTGACACATCCCAACTGGGACAGGCGAGCGCTCCGACGACTCCCCTTCTTCAAGCCTCAGTTTCCCTGTCTGTCCATTATTACCCAGTCTGACGCACTGCACCTCGAGCTGACCGACCCGCGGTATAGGTTCCCGATCAGCATCTGGGAGTCCGCAAACGCTCCGGTCCGGGCCCGCCACGTTGACGGGCGGGCCGCGGACAGCGAAGGCCTCCGTGACGTTTCCCGGGCTTGCGGATTTCAGCTTTCAGACCTCCACAGGCTCCACGCCCTTCCCGGGCCCAGCACTACCCAGCGGCCCTTTCTGGATTCATTAGTCCCGCCCTCAGGTCGACATCTGTCAATCCTGCGGCCTAGGCCCCGCCCACTGAGGCTCCACTTCCGTTCCTGCTTGCCTGGCCTCTCGGCCCGGCTAGCCTGGCTCCGCTTCCTCGGTTCCGCCCCCTCAGGTTCTGATTGGTCCGCCACGCCCACTGACCTACGCCTGTCAACGCGGTTTACCAGATCCCGCCCATCCCCGCTCCTGTAACCGCCACTCCTTCCCAGGCCCCGCCCTGCTCTGCCTGATTCCCTCACCCCCCAAGCCTGGCTCCGGATCTACGACTGTCAATCTCCGTCAGCCCCGCCCACTCCCCGTCTTTCCTATAACTCCTAGGTTCCGCCTCCCTAGGCCCCGCCCCATGCAGGTCCCTATATCGTTGACACCGCCCACTCGGACTCCTCTTCCGCCTTGTAACCGCCTCCTCTTGGTTCCGCCTCCCCAAGCACCGGCACACTCGGCCCTGATTTCCCAGGCTCCCTAGGGCGCGAGGACCCCACCCACCCACCCGGGTCAGTCTCTCTCCCTGCCTGAATGGGGGTTCGCCCCTCTTGCTCTGACGGCGACCCTGTCGGAGTCCGTCATGCGTGCCAGACTTGAGAACCCAAGAGCTATCCCGGGTTGTTGCGTCCCCGGAGTCCGAGGCCGAGAGATTAAGTCGCTCTCCGGAACCAGGCGCACATTAGGCAGCCCCGAGCGCGCCGCGGCGAAGGAAAGCCCCCGGCGCCAGGCCCCCTGGTTGTTTACGTCAGCGCGTGCGCGGCGCCCACCGCCAAATGGGTCGCGACACTCGCTCGCGCTCGCGGTCCGCGGGGCGCAGGGGTCGGAGACAGCGGAGTCGGAGCCGCAGCCGCAGCCGCAGCCGCAGCCGCAGCCGCAGCGGGAGCCATGGACGCGGCAGCCGGCGGCGCCGGGAGCGCGACGGGCGGCGCGAACGCAGGCGGCGCAGCCGGGGGCGCAGGTGAGCGGCCGGGGGCGGCGGGCGTGCGGCCTGGGGGCCGAGGCGCGGGCGGGACGTTAGCGTAGTGCGAGGCGGCCGGGCGGCGGCGGGGGGCGGGGGGCCGTGCGAGCAGAGGACTGACGAGACCGCACTCGCCGTCCGCCCATCCCTACAACCCAGGCTGACCCGGACGTCACTGCAGCCCAGGCTGACCCGGACGTCACTGCAGCCCAGGCTGGCCCGGACGTCACTGCAGCCCAGGCTGGCCCGGACGTCACTGCAGCCCAGGCTGGCCCGGACGTCACTGCAGCCCAGGCTGGCCCGGACGTCACTGCAGCCCAGGCTGGCCCGGACGTCACTGCAGCCCAGGCTGCGTGCGCCGTGGGCTGTTGGCTGACGCGCAGTTCAGATACTTTCGCCGGGCAGTGGTGGCGCACGCCTTTAATCCCAGCACTCGGGAGGCAGAGCCAGGAGGATCTCTGTGAGTTCGAGGCCAGCCTGGTCTACAGAGTGAGTTCCAGGACAGGCACCAAAGCTACACAGAGAAACCCTGTCTCAAACCTCTCAACCCCCCTCAAAAGAAAGGACTGTGTGTTTCTCCACAGCTAAGTCCTTTTGTTCAATTGGAGTCCCCTTTTCTCAAATGGCTGTAATTTGTTTGCCTCGAGTTGACAAAAGACTAACCGGGACACCATCCATACTGGGGTTGCTCCAACAGCCACATCCAACTGTTTTTGTGTGTGGGTGCTCGGGATTCGAACTCATGTCCTCAAAATATTACCTGGTGGTGCTTTTTCCTCTTTCATGGTTCCCGGGATGTCAGAGAAGCCATCCGCTGGGCCTCATTCCTTCGACCTGTCACCTCAGCGGGACTTGATGGTACGGTACACACCAGTAACCCCAGCACTTCAGAGACAGACACTGGTGGCCAGCCTGGGCTGTAGAGGGAGACCCCCCAGGCAGGAACATAAAGATATTTAAAATAAGCCCGCCTCCATCTTCCTCTCATTTCATAGGACCAACCTGAGTCCTCCCCCAGCTTGTATGCCCACCTTGGGTACCTTGGAGGTGGTCAGCCCTCTTGTTCCCACCGCATTGGCTCCCCGGTCTGCCCCTGCCCCAGGACTTTGGTCGATGCCCAGCATTCCACCCCCATTTCCTTGGGCCTAAACTTGGCTCCTTTAAGAACCACCCCCATTTAGTAGTGGTGCAAATCTTTAATTGCAACACAGGCAGATTTCTGTTTGTATGAGTTTGATGTCAGCCTGGTCTACAGAGCGAGTTCTAGGACAACCAAGGCTACACAAACTGGAAATAACTAAAAAACAGAAAAATACACACACCTCAAATTCCCCCTGCAGCTCCCTCCACGGTTGTTTGTTTAGGCCTGAGGCTTTAGGGCAAGCTAGTTTGTGTGGGGACCAGTGTGATTTGCAGGCTGGTGAGACGGCAAGGCGTGTGGTCTCAGTGTGTTGGTCGCTGTGACCTCAACGCCTAGAACGGCGCCCCAGCTGCAGCTGGCATTGAGGAGGCCTTGGTGTGTCCTCCCATAGGTCAGACTCGGAGGGAGACCGGCGGCGGCGGCAGAGGTCTGGGAGGCGAAGCCGGAGCCCTCGGCCACCCCGCTGGCACTCACAGGACCAGTCCTCACGGTCTGACTCTGGTGAGGAGCGGGCATGGGGCTCCTGGGCCAGGCACAGTCGCCGGCGCTCCTGGTCCCCAGCGTCATCAGCCTCGAGCTCGGAATCCCCGCGACGCTCCCAGAGCCCGGGGGCGGCCGCCCTGGCCCTGAGCCAGCAGCAGAGCCTGCAGGAGCGGCTGCGGCTGCGTGAGGAGCGGAGGCAGCAGGAGGAGCTGCTCAAGGCCTTCGAGACGCCTGAGGAGAAGCGTGCGCGGCGACTGGCCAAGAAGGAAGCCAAGGAGCGCAAGAAGCGCGAGAAGATGGGCTGGGGTGAGGAGTACATGGGGTACACCAACACAGACAACCCCTTCGGAGACAACAATCTACTGGGCACCTTCATCTGGAACAAGGTGGGCGCCACCCTGAGCAGCCAGGTGCTGTGTTGTCCTGAGGGAACCTTCCTGCCCCAGGGCTCTGTGCTGCTGTCCCTTCAGCCCAGCTCCCTGGGGCTCCTGTCCTCGCCGGCCCCACTGACTCAGCCCTCCTTCCGGGAGGCCATGCCGGCCCCTGTAGACCCCGCACATCGTGCTTCTCAATGCACTGTTCGTGTGTGCTTCCGAGATAACCTGGCACGCATCTGTGCAGGCTCCAGGCTCAGCTCTGCCACCAACCCCCCTCTGAGCCCTGGAGACAGCCGGGAGTGAGAGGCGGCCCACCCATACCACCTGAAGGGGACCGAGGCGGTATCAGAAAGCACGTGATAAGAGCACAGCTGTTCGGTGACAGGCAGGGCTCCAGGGGCTCCTTTTGGGAGAAGAGCCAACCCCAGGAACCCCCTACCATGGACCCTGGGGGTCCCGGGCGGCCCTTACCAGTCTAGCCTGTGAGCACACACGGCCGCTCTGGGCACTCCGCTATCTCCCTTGCCAGCGTGGCCGACTGAGGGGCTGAGTGGGTGTGGCTGCTCCTCCTGCGCAGGCGCTGGAGAAGAAGGGCATCAGCCACCTGGAGGAGAAGGAGCTGAAGGAGCGCAACAAGAGGATCCAGGAGGACAACCGGCTGGAGCTGCAGAAGGTGGGCACCCAGTCAGGGCCGCTTCTGGAGGCTGCGCTGGCCCTCCGGGGTTAGGCGTGCTGGGCCCTCACCGCGTGGCTCTCTCTGCTGCCCCAGGTGAAGCAGCTGCGGCTGGAGCGTGAGCGCGAGAAGGCCATGCGGGAGCAGGAGCTGGAGCTGCTGCAGCGGGAGAAGGAGGCGGAGCACTTCAAGACCTGGGAGGAGCAGGAGGACAGCTTCCACCTGCGGCAGGCCAAGCTGCGGTGCGCCCCCCGCGGGTGGGACGGGTGGGCTCGGGAGGCAGACCCTCAGCGGTCCCCCTAAGACTGGGGTGGGGGTGGGGTCAGGGTCTGAGCGCAGACCTGGTCTGAGGTGTTGGACCCCAGCCAGCCCGGCCGTCCTACCCCGGTGAGGGCCAGGGTCAGCTGCTGTCACACCAAGCTCTGGTCCTGACCCTGCACCCCATCCCCTTCCACAGTTCCAAGATCCGCATCCGGGACGGGCGGGCTAAGCCCATCGACCTGCTGGCCAAGTACATCAGCGCAGAGGATGACGACCTGGCCGTGGAGATGCATGAGCCCTACACCTTCCTCAATGGCCTCACCGTGGCCGACATGGAGGACCTGCTGGAGGACATCCAGGTGCCACCATACCTCAGCGTGCAGCAGTGACTGCCTCTGCCTCCCACTGCTGCCCTGCCACCACCACCCCCACCACCCCCGTTAGCCTCCCCCCTCTCACGCTCCTCCCTCTCGGCCCGCCCCCCAGGTGTACATGGAGCTGGAGCAGGGTAAGAACGTGGACTTCTGGCGGGACATGACGACCATCACGGAGGACGAGATCGCCAAGCTCCGCAAGCTGGAGGCCTCGGGCAAGGGCCCAGGTGAGCAGCCTGTCTGCGGACTGTCGGGGTGTTGGGCTGCCTCGGGTCAGCTGCTCTCTCTCCCTGCTGCAGAGCCCGGGGCTTCAGCCGGGGCAGTTGATGTCTACAGGGGGCACTGCTTCCTGGCGGCTGGGACTCCAGCCCCTTCCCCGGCAGGCCCATCATCCTCACGACCGCCCGAGTGCTGCAGCCCAGGGAGCACCCGGCAGGGTGGGGCGGTGGGGACTCCAGCCCACTGAACAGCCCTTCTTGCAGGCGAGCGCCGTGAGGGGGTCAACGCCTCGGTGAGCTCCGATGTGCAGTCGGTGTTCAAGGGCAAGACGTACAACCAGCTGCAGGTCATCTTCCAGGGCATCGAGGGCAAGATCCGTGCCGGGGGCCCCAACCTGGACATGGGCTACTGGGAGAGCCTGCTGCAGCAGCTGCGTGCACACATGGCCAGGGCCAGGTGAGGCGCCGTCCTGTCCCCTGTCCCCTGTCCGTCCCCCTGCTCCCTCTCTCTGCTCCTGTCTGGCCGCCAGCGCCCCTGCCCGACCGCTTGGCTAACGCTGTCCTGAGGGCCAGGCTTGGGGCACAGGGACTGCATCCTGCCCAGGGACTGCGATGGTGACACCCTCCTGTCCCCCAGGCTCCGTGAACGCCACCAGGATGTTCTGCGGCAAAAGCTGTTCAAACTGAAGCAGGAGCAGGGGGTGGAGAGCGAGCCGCTGTTCCCCATCCTCAAGTCGGAGCCCACGGCCACCCACAGGTGAGGGCCCCCGGGGTCGGCAGTGGGGACCCGGCAAGGGGGTGAACACCGGGCGGGCCTGGCAGGGACAGGCCTGCGTCCTACCTGTGGGCCTCACCCCTCCGTCTGCCTCCTGCAGCCCCGAGCCCGAGGAGCCGGCCCCCAGCCCCGGGCCCTCGGGGGAGCCCGCCGAAGCCGAGGGGGCGCCGGCCCCCGGGGAGGCAGGAGCGGAGGCGGCGGCGGCGGCGGCGGCGGAGGCGGAGGGCGAGGCGGTGCTGATGGAGGAGGACCTGATCCAGCAGAGCCTGGCCGACTACGACGCCGGCCGCTACAGCCCGCGCCTGCTCTCGGCCCACGAGCTGCCGCTGGACGCGCACGTGCTCGAGCCGCACGAGGACCTGCAGCGCCTGCAGCTGTCCCGCCAGCAGCTCCAGGCCACAGGTGGGGAGGACGGGCCGCCGGAGGGCGGGGGGCGGGGGGGGAAGGGGGGGACCCGCGGCTGACCCTCCGTCCGTCCCCACAGGCGACGCGAGCGAGAGCGCCGAGGACATCTTCTTCCGGCGCGCGCGCGAGGGCATGGGCCAGGACGAGGCGCAGTTCAGCGTGGAGATGCCGCTGGGCGGCCGCGCCTACCTGTGGGCCGACAAGTACCGGCCGCGCAAGCCGCGCTTCTTCAACCGCGTGCACACGGGCTTCGAGTGGAACAAGTACAACCAGACGCACTACGACTTCGACAACCCGCCGCCCAAGATCGTGCAGGGCTACAAGTTCAACATCTTCTACCCCGACCTCATCCGCAAGCGCGCCACGCCCGAGTACTTCCTGGAGGCCTGCGCCGACAACCGCGACTTCGCCATCCTGCGCTTCCACGCCGGGCCGCCCTACGAGGACATCGCCTTCAAGATCGTCAGCCGCGAGTGGGAGTACTCGCACCGCCACGGCTTCCGCTGCCAGTTCGCCAACGGCATCTTCCAGCTCTGGTTCCACTTCAAGCGCTACCGCTACCGCCGGTGACGCCCGTGCGGCGGGGCCGGCCCTGGACAGCTCCGGGGGGGCAGGGGCCGGGCCCGCCCTCAGCATCCTCCCGTCACCAACACTGCGGGCCGCGGCCCCCATCCCCGCCCATCTGGAAAGGGTTGGGACTGTTCCTCTAGAAAGACTGCTCTGGGAGGGAGGGCGGGAGGGCGGGCACCTTGTTCTCTTTCCACGGACGTGTTCTACCGGGGGACCCCGTGTGGTTTTGATACGTTTAATAGAAAGCTTATTCTAGAACAAACGACTTCATGTCTGCGTCACAGCTGAGGCCACGGCGCAGACACCACACCCAGATGGCCCGGGAGAGGTCAGGACTCGGGGTCTGCTCCGCCCACCCGAACCCAAGACGCCAACGTCTGGGAACGTGTGGCTGTCACCACCATAGGTCCTGGTTTGCACCCGGTGGCCACCAAGGATGCCTCTGCAGCGCAGATCTGCTGCAAAGCGCCAGCCCCTAGGCATGCAGCGCAGCAGCACTCATCCTTCCGCAGGAGGAGCCCCCCCCCCCCCCCCCCCGTGGTGCAGCACCCACGGGCACTCGGTCCCCAAGGGCCCCGCTCAGGGCTGAGTTGGGCAGAGCCGGGAGCATTTGACCTTAGGAGTTCCTTGGGTGTGTGCACAGTGCACAGCGTGCGGGGCCTCAGTTTCTCTACCTGGGCCAGAAGGGGGCAGTTTCCCTCCCACCTACCCGGGGGCATCTCTGGCCTGCTGGATCTCGTGTGTGCACAGTCCAGCAGGGTCCTGGCCTTGGGAGACCCTGAGGTGCCCAGAGGGGGCGAGCAGAAGACACTTGGTAGGAGGTCCAGCCCAGGGAACCGGACCCCTGGGGCACTGGGGAGCCGTAGCCAGCGAGTGAGCCTGGCGAGGATGCAGACTGTCCCCACGGGTGCCCTGATGTCCCAGAAATTGTCTGCAGCTCCCGCTCCAGCCTTTCCTTCCTTTGCCTGTGTCCAGAGCTAAGAATAGGCACCCCCAGCCTGGCCCCGGCCTTGGCGGAAGCCACAGCCACAGGGGGTACATCCTGAGCCTGGCCGCCCACATCCACCCCCAGCTGCAGCCTGCTCCCGGCCTTGAGCGCTGTGTGTGGCCAAGAGCCATGTGTGGTCTTTGCATCTCATCTCTGCCTCAGTTTCCCCATACATACCAAGCTCTGTCACCTCCATTGCAGAAGGGACACAGCCCAGCTGCATGTCCTTTGATCATTGCCTGATTCTCTAGGCCAGACATGTCCAGAGGAAGAGGACAGCAGCTACCCCCATGCCCATCCCCGACCCACGGGGAGCACGGCCTCAAAGCCTCTTCCACAACTCCACAGGGCATCACACTCCCACCCAACACTCCTGCCAGACCGGAGGAACGCCACAAATCCGTCCCACAAACCCCAGGCCTACACCTCTGCCCACAGCGTTGATTCCCACCAAACTTGGGGACGCCGAGGACTCTGCTCTGGCCCAGCTGCCCTGGCCACAGGAACTGCGGTGGCAAGGGCAGGTCCGGTGGGAGAGAACCCCAGAAAGGAGCTCCACAATGACCTTGGGGCCGGCGCCTGACCAGAGAAGGGGCAAGTTAGAGTTCAGGGCTGAATATGCATCAGTGAGGAGGCCCCCAGGAGTGAGGCCGGAAGAGGGGGCGGCCCAGAGGGAGGGGGCTTCCTGCTGCTGACAGGAGTCTGGTTGACCCTGGACAGACTGGAACTGGGTGGGTTGGGGTCACGGCCAGGCCAGGCATCCTGTTCCCCACCAGGATCTGTCCTGTTCCAGGGTGTGAACCGAGGCAGAGAGGCCCAAGACTGCCTCCTGGCCCAGATGTCCCCTCGGGCCACAGCTCACAGGACAACACAGCCCCCAGCAGCCCTCAGGGCTTCGTGCGTGAGGCTGCGGGGAAAGGGTCCACGGGACTGCTCCATTGCTGTGGGGGCAGCCTGGCATCTGGTCTCCCCCTCTGTGCCCCTCCCCCATCGCCCCCTCCAGCCCTGTGGCCCCCGAGGCCCCCGGAAGTCCAACCGGCCGCTGCTGCCTTGCCAGGACCAGCCCCATCTGGCCGGTTCTTCCCACACGGGCCCGGGGTCTCTGGCCTGTCAACAACCAAAGTCTGTCACCCTTGTGCCCTGCCGGGCTCCCACGCTAGCCCGGCACCGGGCCGCGGGGCGAGGCCAGCTCAGGGGGCGGGGCTGTCGAGAGACAGACAGGCAGAAAGACAGATGGAGACAGGGCGGGGCGGGAGACAGCCTCACTGTCACATCCCCGAGTCCCGTGCCCCTGGGGGTCCCCAGTGCTAAGCCATCTACCCAGGGCCTCTGTTGGGGCCTGTCCTCGGCCTGTGACTCGGTTTCCCCAGAGATCTTTGCTCCCTCCTCTCTCTGCCCGACCTGGGAAAGCACAGAGGCGCTGGCTGCCCTGCTTCTGGGACACCACAGCGACACCTGGTACTGACCCGTGGGTGAGTCCCTCCCCTCCCTAAGGAGACTCCACACCCACTCCCCAGGTGAGCTCTGCATGGTACCTGGGGAGCCTGCACCCACCAACCACTCTGCTGAGTGTCCCCTGGGGTGAGGGGATGGGGTGTGGCCTTTACTCAGGTGGTCTAGCCTGGACAAGTGTAGTTCCCTTGGTAGCACATGGGTATCCTGGTTCCCTGTGTCTGGACCGGGCCAGTTCAAGACGCTCAGGTGGGATGGAGCTGGGGTGACTCGGGGTGTGTGCGTGTGTGTGTGTGTGTGTGTGTGTGTGTGTGTGTGTGTGTGTGTGTGTGTACACGCGCACGGGGACATGCATAGACTCAGCTCAGAGCTCAGGCCTCATCTCCATTGAACACACCAGGAAACTGAGGCCCAGGCCGAGCCTCCGTCAGGCCCCACGTCAGGGATAATACCTGCACCCCGGGGCTTCAGCACAAACAGGAAGTGGCCCGGCCCTGTGGGAGGGAGAGGAACAGCCTGTGGTGAGCCCTGAGGGTCTGTGAGGGTGTGGGCATCCACACCAGGTGTCTGGGGTGCTGGCAGAGCTCTCCCAGAACCCTCTCTGGGAGCAGACGGGGTCAAGAGGCTGTCTCAGGAGCTCTGGACACCAGGTGTAAGCAGAGAGCCACAGGGGTGCAGATTCTTTGTACCGGGGAAACTAAGGCTGCCTACAGTGGCGGTGGAGGCTCGAGGGCCCAGGCTGCCCTGGGGCCCCGTGGGGAAGGCCTAGGGGGATGGATGAGCTGAGCGGAGGAGGAGGAGGAGGGGCCTGGCGCTCAGAGCCCAGCCACACACCACATTCCTCGAGGCTGGACCGCCGCCACCGGTGCCTGGGCCTCAAGGAACAGGGACCAGAGCCCCAGGGCACACATGTAACAAGGGCGAGGCCCCATCGCTGACAGAACACCACTGCCCGCCCCCCCAAAAGCAGGGACAGAGCTTAGGAACGCAGAGCCACCCCACACCCCAGGACTCAGGACGGGAGGATTCTAGGCTCCCCAGCACACTGGGGGTCGGGGTGGGAGCTCAGGAGAATTCTAGAACCCTAATCCAGGTGCTGCGGCCTGTGCCTGTGCCTGTCATCCCAGCAGGAGCTGGAGGAGGCATGGATCTCCGTGAGTTCCAGGCTAGCCCAGTCGACGCAACAGCAAGGCTCCCAGGCCCAGAGCTCCTGCCCTGAGGCTGTGGAATCTGACGAGGCACAGACGCTGAGCCATCTCCCCCACCACACAGCCCGGGCTGCTGGCCAGCACGGGAGGCTGCCAGGCCCGGCCTGGGGTCTGGCCTGGCAACTTGAGCCAGCCATTATCACCTGAACCCCAGGGGAGGGAGCAGTGACAGCAGGGAGACTGGACACCGCCGTCCATCCTTGGTCGGCTGGCCTGCCCTGGGGCACAGTGGCTGTGGGGACCCAGTGCGAGGCGGGGCCAAAGACTGGGACAGAGGAGGGGCTGAGGAAGCAAAGGCGTCTTGGAGGGGGAGCGCCGGGGTTCTAGGGGACCTAGCACAGACACTCAAGTATGTGCCCAGTGCCAGGGCGACGCCGTCAGGGGGCGGCCACGGAGAGAGACCAGCCTGTCCCCCTCCTCCATCCCGCTGAGCCTCAGTTTCTCCTCCGGATGGTGCAGGCCCAGGAAGGCCCATGCCGTCGGTGGTCTGGGGCGGTGGGGCAGGGGAGCTGACGCATTCTGGGCTGCGTGAATTGAGCACCTACTGTGTGCTGTGCCAGGAGTAGAGAAAGAGATCACTGTTCTCAGCATCCGCTGGCTTAACGAGGGGACACGGGCTCTGCGGGGACACGGGCTCTGCGGGGACACGGGCTCTGCGGGGACACGGGCTCTGCGGGGACGCGGGTCAAGAACAGGCGCGGCCAGAACCCTGGATGACCAACGTTAAAACCCTAGAGCTCCCGGGGAGGGGACGGGCTGGAGGGGGGAGGGAGGAGAGAGGGCGCCAGGGGTGGCGCTGCGGTCGGGGTGAGGGTAACTGCAGCCGAGCCTGAGGACTTGAGTCCAGCCCCCGAGCCCCACATGGTAAGAGGAGAGAACCGGGTCCGGCAGGCTGCCCTCTGACCTCCGCGTGCCCTGGGCGGGCTGGCTGTGCGCCTTGCTCACGCCCATGTGTAAGTGAATAATGTAAAAGAAATGAAGAAAACAGGCCAAACATGGTTCGCTCCAGAAAGCTGAGGCAGGAGGACCACTGTGAGTTGCTTCCCGGCCCGGGCCGTGCAGGAACACTGTGACATTAGGCACTGCCCACCTGTCTCTGGTCTCCGTTTGGTTTTAATCTGTGTAGCTGACACTCACAGCCATCCTCCTGCCTCCGGCTCCCCGGTGCTGCGAGGGATCTGACTGTTGAACAGCCTCCCGTTTCGACAGCCTCGGTCCTGTGATGTGGCCCAACGGGGCCGCTGCGTCCCTCCTCGCAGGAGTCGTCCCCGGGGATGTGTCCCCGACGGGCTCTGGGTTTGTTTTTTTTTTTTTGTTCCCAAAATGGAACAAGAACTTCTGGGTTCGTTTCTTATTATAAAAGTGACGTGAGAAGGGAGGACCGGTGAGGGCCGGTCCGGTGAGCGGGCGTCAGGGACAGGTACCAAACCAGGCCGGAACGATGGAGGGGTGACGATGGGGAAGCCGAGGCCACCCTGTGAATGCAGGGACCAGAACTCAAACCCAGGGCTGCAGCGCGCGCGTCCCACCTACTCAGGAGGGACGAGGATGCAGACTTAAGAAAGGGTATGTAGCCGGGCGGTGGTGGCGCACGCCTTTAATCCCAGCACTCGGGAGGCAGAGGCAGGTGGATCTCTGTGAGTTCGAGGCCAGCCTGGTCTACCAAGTGAGTTCCAGGAAAGGCGCAAAGCTACACAGAGAAACCCTGTCTCGAAAAACCAAAAAAAAAAAAAAGAAAGGGTATGTGCTCCTGGGGCGTGGAGGGCTGCATAGGAGTTCACCACAAGCCCTCGCTGTCTCTGCAGGTGAGCCCGATGGGGTGGTGACCCCCGCATCGCCGCAGGCTCGGGCGCCATGTGGGCCAACGGCAGCTCCCCGGGGCCCTGCTTCCGGCCGATGAACATCACGCTGCAGGAGCGGCACCTGATCGCGTCGCCCTGGTTCGCCGCGTCCTTCTGCGTGCTGGGCCTGGGGTCCAACCTGCTGGCCCTGAGCGTGCTGGCCGGGGCGCCGTCGCCGCGCTCGTCCTTCCTCACCCTGCTGTGCGGCCTGGTCCTCACCGACTTCCTGGGGCTGCTGGTCACCGGGGCCATCGTGGTGTCGCGGCACGCGGTGCTCTTCGCCTGGCAGGCCGCCGACCCCGGCTGCCGCCTCTGCCACTTCATGGGGGTGGCCATGGTGTTCTTCGGGCTGTGCCCGCTGCTCCTGGGCGCCGCCATGGCCTCGGAGCGCTACGTGGGCATCACGCGGCCCTTCCGGCGCCCGCCGGCCACGTGGCGCCGCGCCTGGGCCACGGTGGCGCTGGTGTGGCTGGCGGCCCTGGCGCTGGGGCTGCTGCCGCTGCTGGGGCTCGGCCGCTACACCGTGCAGTACCCCGGCTCCTGGTGCTTCCTGACGCTCGGGCCGCGGCGCGGCGACGTGGCCTTCGGCCTGCTGTTCGCGCTGCTGGGCGGCGTGTCCGTGGGCCTGTCCTTCCTGCTCAACACCGTGAGCGTGGCCACGCTCTGCCGCGTCTACCACGGCCGCGAGGCTGCGCGCCAGCGCCCGCGGGACTGCGAGGTGGAGATGATGGTGCAGCTGGTGGGCATCATGGTGGTGGCCACCGTGTGCTGGATGCCGCTGCTGGTGAGTGTCGGCGGCGCCAGAGCCCCCGCTTCCGCACGGCCACGGCGGGCCACGGCGGGCCACGGCGGGGAGGGAGCCCTCGGTCCACAGCCTCCGGGCTTCTAGGAGCTGCAGAGGCTCACGGGAAATGTTTCTAGGTCCGGGCCTTCCGGAGCAGGACTTTGGAGGATGCATGGAAAGCATCCTAGATAGCATGGGGGGCCGCTCGATGTCCGCCGCGTCCCCCGGGTGCCCGGCGGCCCGGAGGACTGTTTAACGTGGGCACAAGGCCTTTCTTTCTTCTCTCCTGCTCCTCCTCCTCCTCCTCCTCCCTCTCTTCCTTCAGCAGACATTTATTATGTGCCGACTGAATACAGGCTTCCCCAACACAAGCAGACCCAGCTCTGGGCCTGGAGGGCTTAGGTGTGGCCCAGGCACTCAGGACTCAGACTCAGGCCAGCCTGGGCAACTGGGCCAGACTCTGTCCAAAAATAAAACGTGGTGGCGCAGGCCTTTAATCCCAGCCCTCGGGAGGCTGAGGCAGGTGGATCTCTGAGTTCAAGGCCGGCCTGGTCTACAGAGTGAGACCCTTGCCTCGAAAAGTGAACAAAAGAAGGCTAGAGCCTGGCTCAGGGTGGATTGCTGCCTTGATCCCCAAGTTTACTTTCTCTACCTCAGTCCCGCTAGGGCATGAGCCAAAAGCCTGTACTCCTTCCTGGGCCCAGCAGCAGCAGCTCAGAGAGGTTGTCCCACTCCCCCAAGGTCACACAGCACAACCCTCTGCTCCTGCAGGTCTTCATCGCACAGACCTTGCTGCAGACACCACCCGTCATGAGCCCCTCCGGGCAGCTGTCACGGGCCACGGAACACCAGCTGCTCATTTACCTGCGTGTGGCCACATGGAACCAGATCTTGGACCCCTGGGTCTACATCCTGTTTCGCCGGTCGGTGCTTCGACGCCTGCACCCACGGCTCAGTTCCCGGCACCGGGCCCTGTCCCTGCACCCACCCCCAGCCCAGGCCTCACTCAATGGGCCCTGAAGGACAGTGCCACCCAAACCTCATGCCCTCGGTGACTGCCACAGGCCCGGGTCCCATCCCAGGAGCCCGAGTGCTTTGTGGACTAAAGGAGGGGAGCCATCGACAAAGGGTTGACTCCTCTGAACCCCAAGACACCTCCTTGATGCGAGGGACGCCCTCCCTGAACGCCCAGACTCCTCCCAGTCCAGGGGGTGCTTGGGTCACATATGGGAAGCTGGGGTTACGCTCAGGTCAACCTGAGGATCCAGGGAACCAGCTGAGACCCGGAGCCCAGAGTGGGGGCGTCCCCAACCTTGCCAAAGCCTGGATCTGAGACACCTGGCTCGGGGGTCATCGACCTTGGGTGTTGGAAGCCTCCGTCGGGTCCCCAGGCCAAGTCTGGAGTCACCAACCTCCCCGATGTTTACTCCGGTGTTTACGAGCCTCCCTCCCCCACAGCTGCCCAAGGCACTCGCTCAATAAATGATTGACCAGCCGGAGCGTCGGGGGTACACAGCAGGCGCTCAGCTTAGCAACCGTGGACCCGTTCGCCCCCCTGCCCCACAGCTCCATGCAAACCACTCAAAGTGAGGGCTGTGGGAACTCAGGGCTCCTTTATTCACTGCCGAGGTCCCCGCGGCCGGATCCTCTTACTCGGGGTTCTCAGCCAGGCTCCCGAAACCCAAGTCTCAGTTTCCACCATCTTACCCTCCTGCTGGGACGGGGTCACCAGGCCAGTGGTGGCAATAGTCACCAGAGCCCAGGGGACAAGACAGCTACCCCTGGTGCGGGAGGGGCCCAGGGGAGGGGCTAGGAGTGACCCTTATGGTGGGGGGCATGGACTTCCGGGGTCCCAGCTGGGGCTTGGGTGAAAGGTCTGGCTTCTGGGGGGTGGCGGGGACTTGTGACCTGGGGCCCAGGTGGGAGGCTGGGGGACCTGGCCCGGGGCGGGCTGTGGCCTGGCTTCCATCTTGAGGCCTAGGCCCAGGGAACTTGCTCGGAGCAGGGGTGGAGGCTCTTGGGGGTGGTGGGCTTGGAGACCCAGGTCCCGCCGGGGGGTCAGGCTGCGTTCTAGGCTCGAGGCCCGGGGTCTGTGGGTGGCGGCCGTCTCTGTCTCTAGAGCTGAGGAGGCAGCCTTCCGGGCTGGGGCCTGCCTGGGCTCTGGCCCTGCTGGCCTGGGCTTCGGCGCGTGCTGGAGCCTGAGGAACGAACTGGGTTCTAGAGGCCAAGTGGGCTCCGGAGCCAAGCCGCCGTCCTGTGTCGAGCTGGGGGTCACAGCTGGCTCCAGCGGGCATCAGGTGCTGCTTCCGGGAGCCCGCACCCGGTCTGCCCTCAGAACTAGACGGGGATCTGGAACCGGGTTCCTCCTCGGCCGGGGGCCGGGGCTGAGACCCTCCATGCCAGGCTTGACCCGCGTGGGCTCCGGAGCTGGGCCCGGCGTGGAAGTCTGTCTGGGTCCCCGAGTCAGCCTGTGTCCCGGGGCCTGCATGCCTTCTTCTGGGTAAGGAGGGCTGGGCGCCCGGCGACATCCCGCAGCCGGGCCTCGCTGCGGAAGCGGAGGGCGTCTGGGAGTGCGGCCCCGGTGCCACAGCAGGCCGGCTTCCGGCCCTCGGCTGGGCCGCAGGCTCGGGCTCAGCACCGGGGCCGGCTTGGGGTGCAGGGTCCCCGGAGGCGCTGGGGGGCAGGGCCGGGGGGCAGGGCTGGGGTCTGAGTCTGGAGCCTGCGGCAGCGTGGCCCGCGCGGGACCGGGGTACGAAGGAGGGCTGGCTAGTGGACCTGGCCTGGGGCCCGTCAGCTGGTCCTCCCGAGCCACTCCAGACGGCTGGAGAGGGCTGGGCCCTGGTGGAGACCGTGTCAGAGCTGGGATGGCGCTCTGGGCCTAGCGGCGCCTTAACGTCCCTCTGGGGTCTGGAGTGTGGCTGCGGGGCAGGACCTGGCTGGACTCTGGAGGCTGGCTGAGGGTCAGCCATGACCTGGGCTCCAGCACGGGGGCTGGACCTCAGCCCTGGCTGGGCTCCAGAGCCAGGCTTCCCATCTGGGTGGGCCTGAGTTCTAGAACCAAGCTCACCCTCACGGCCTGTATGTGTTCTAGAAGCGGGCTTGGTCTCCGGCCTGGCGTGGGCTTCCGAACTACCCTGGGCTCTAGAACTGGGTCTAGCCTCAGAGCCAGCCTGGGTTCTAGGCCTAGGCTGTAGTGCAGATTCAGGGTGGGTTCTAGAACAGGGCTCGGCCTCAGGGCTGCCCTGTGTTCTAGAGCCAACCTGAAATTCAGGGTTGCCTTGGGTTCTAGGACCAGGCCGCGTCCCAGGACTAGACTGGGTTCTACAGTCTGTCTGGATCTCAGAGACGACCTGGGTTCCAGAACCGGGCTGGGATTCTGGCTGGACCTCAGAGCTGGGCTGGGCCTCAGGGTGGGCCTGGGTTACAGAACTGGGCTCGATTCTAGAGCTGGACCCGGCCACGGGCTTGAACTGGGTTCCAGAGTCCGGCTGGGGTTCCAGCTGGGTCTCAGAGCTGACCTGGGTGCCAGACCTGGGCTGGGCCTCGGACCTGACCTGGGTTACGGAACTGGGTCTGGTTCTAGAGCGGGGCTGGGCCTTGGGGTGGGCCTGGGTCCCAGAACTGGGCCGGGTCTCGGGGCTGTCCTGGGTTCTGGAGCGGCGCTGCGGCAGGGGGCTGGGCCCGGGGCTGCGGACCCCCGCACACGCTAGCCACAGGCGTCGCGGGCCTCGCCGATGGCCGCCCACACCTCCACCACGAACTCGTCCGGGAAGGCGAACTCGCCCAGAACCGCGTCCAGGCCGCGCGCGAAGGCCTGGGCTCCCGCCGAGCTCCGCGCAGTCTCCACCACGGCGGCCGCTGCGGGAGCAGACAGACAGACGGACGCACGGAGGGGCGGGATGGACGGGCGACCGGGTGAGCTCGCGCGTGTGCGCCCGCCCCGCCCGCCCCGGGACCCTGCGCTTACCCGCGCCGCTTACCCAGCTCGGGGTCCCGGATGCCCATGTAGCTCTCCAGCAGGTCGTCCACGCGGCGCGCCGCCGCCGCCTCCACGTCGCTGGGCTGCGGACAGGTGAGTGGCCGGGTGAGTGACAGGCGGCAGGCCCCGCCCCCAGGAGTGATAGACAGGTGAGGGGCAGGGGCTGCGGGACCCGCCCCCAGGAGTGATAGACAGGTGACGGGGAGGGGCTGGGCGACCCGCCCCCAGGAGTGATAGACAGGTGATGGGGAGGGGATGGGCGACCCGCCCCCAGGAGTGATAGACAGGTGACGGGGAGGGGCTGGGTGCCCGCCCCCAGGAGTGATAGACAGGTGAGGGGCAGGGGCTGCGGGACCCGCCCCCAGGAGTGATAGACAGGTGATGGGGAGGGCGATACTTTCTTAAGCGGTGGCAGCTCTGGGGCCCCTGAAGCAACTCATGAGTCATTAAAGAGAGGTGAGCAGAGGAGGAGGTCTGGGTGGAGGGGGAGAGGCGATGAGGGGATGAGGGGTAAAGACACTCGTGTGAAAACACAAGGACAACTCTCTAGGACCTCGGTTCAGCCCCCAGGACCCCGTAAAGGAGGAGGGGAGAACTGGACCCCCAAGCGTCCTCTGCCCTCCACACACCACAGGCAAGACGTAATGACGCAATAAGCTCATTTTATAATTGAGTCAGGAACAGGAGGCACCCTGGAACCCTGGAACCGACCCGTACCCATTGCACGAGCTGGGAAACTGAGGCTCTGAGAACAGGGTCCTGCTCTGAAGCTCAGGCTGGCCATCCTCCTGCCTCACCCTCCCGAGTTCTGGGACGACAGTCCTAGGCCACCATCAGCACTCTGGGCTCCACAGGGTGTTAATTGTACATCTCCAGGTTGTGACTCTTCGCGGCCCCGAACTCACTCACCGCTTCCTCCACGGTGGCAGCGCCCCCAGCGCGCAGGCGCAGCGTCTCCCTCCCGCTGCTCACTTTGGCTTCCACAGGACACTTGCTGCTCCTGCTCCTCTGGCCGATCATATCTGGAGGGGACAAAGCAGAGACAGGCGCGTTCGGTTTTGTGTGGATTGTTTTTCATGTTCTCTTTTGCAAACAGGGTCTTTGCTCTATAGCCCAGGCCGACCTCGAACTCAGGGCTTGCCTGCCTCGGTCTCCTGAGGCTGTGCAAGGACTAGGGGGTGGGGGCGTGGTCAGGGTGGAGCCCCGCCTAGAATCCCCAGTGAGGGATGGGGGCGTGGTCAGGGTGGAGCCCCGCCTAGAATCCCCAGTGAGGGCTGGGGGCGTGGTCAGGGTGGAGCCCCGCCTAGAATCCCCCAGTGAGGGTCTGGGGGCGTGGTCAGGGTGGAGCCCCGCCCAGAATCCCCAGTGAGGGGCTGGGGGCGTGGTCAGGGTGGAGCTCCTCCTAGAATCCCCAGTGAGGGGCTGGGGGCGTGGTCAGGGTGGAGCCCCACCCAGAATCCCCCAGTGAGGGGCATGGGGGCATGGTCAGGGTGGAGCCCCGCCCAGAATCCCCGGTGAGGGGCTGGGGCGTGGTCAGGGTGGAGCCCCGCCCAGAATCCCCGGTGAGGGGCTGGGGCGTGGTCAGGGTGGAGCCCCGCCTAGAATCCCCAGTGAGGCTCTGGGGGCGTGGTCAGGGTGGAGCCCCCGCCCAGAATCCCCGGTGAGGGGCTGGGGCGTGGTCAGGGTGGAGCCCCGCCCAGAATCCCCGGTGAGGGGCTGGGGCGTGGTCAGGGTGGAGCCCCGCCCAGAATCCCCGGTGAGGGGCTGGGGCGTGGTCAGGGTGGAGCCCCGCCTAGAATCCCCAGTGAGGCTCTGGGGGCGTGGTCAGGGTGGAGCCCCGCCCAGAATCCCCCAGTGAGGGGCTGGGGACGTGGTCAGGGTGGAGCCCCGCCTAGAATCCCCAGGGAGGGGCTAGGGGCGTGGTCAGGGTGGAGCCCCGCCTAGAATCCCTGGTGAGGGGCTGGGGGCGTGGTCAGGGTGGAGTCCCGCCCAGAATCCCCGGTGAGGGGCTGGGGGCGTGGTCAGGGGAGCCCCGCCCAGAATCCCCAGTGAGGGGCTGGGGGCGTGGTCAGGGTGGAGCCCCGCCCAGAATCCCCGGTGAGGGGCTGGGGGCGTGGTCAGGGTGGAGCCCCGCCCAGAACCCCAGGGTGTGTTAGTCTTTTTTCCCTAAGTGAACTGAGCGATGTTCGGGAGCTTCTGTGGCTGTCCCGCCTTGCGGTGCTCCTGACAAGGAGCGAGGCCTCTGCTCAGCACCCTCAAGGGCCTGGGACACTGCACAGACAACAGCCCAGAACAGTGCTGGCATCGCCAAGTCTGAGAAGCTCTCCCGGAAGCCGCCCTCCTCTCATCTGAGCATCCCTGGCACGCTGACTGGAAGTCATCGCAAGCCAGGCCAGGATGAGGAGTTCTGGGTCATCCTTGGCTACGCGTGATTGAGTTTGAGGGTAGCCTGGGCTATGAGACTGTCTCAGAAATCCACTTCCTGCCTCTCGCTGCCCGGGAGCACGCCGGAGCAGCGTCCTCACCGAAGGCTCTCCGCGGCTGCACCAGGCGCAGGGTGAAGGGCTGGGACTTGGGCAGCTCGCGCAGCATCTTGGCCACCTCGTAGTGTCGGCAGCCCACGATGGAGTGGTCGTTGATGGCCTCGATGCTGTCCCCCACACACACTGCCTCGATCCTGTTGATGATGCTGCCTTCCTTGATTCTCTGTGGGGAATCAGTCACTAGTGGGGACGCCCGGGCCGTCCTCCCTGGGGCCCCAGAGTCGCCTTGGACCCACCAATCACCTAGGCAGGTCACCACACAGGTACCTTGATGAAGGCGTATCCCGCCCCGTTGTCTGTGATGGTCAGTCCTAGAGCGTCCTCCGTTTTGGTGACCTCCACCTCTTTGGTCTCTCCACGCACGTGCGCAAAGATGAAGTCTTCCAGCCCGATCTGTCCCCCCAGCAACTTCTGCATGTCCACTTTGTGACTATTGAGGGTGCAAAACAGGATCTGTCCGGACAGGAGAGGGACCCAGAATCAGTCATGGGGGACCACCCTGTGCGCACCCTGTTGAGGTGGACGGTCTCTGCGGGCGCCCCCTGGAGGCCAGCGGCACCTGTGCCCCACGCGGGACAGCGGAGGCCCCCATTGCCCACCTGTGAACAAGGGGCCAGGCCTGACTGTGGGCATGGTGCCTGTCTGTCATCCAGGAGCCTGAGGCAGGAGGATGACTGACAGTCTCAGGCTTCCCCCAAATAAAGAAGACTAAGCATCCTGGTTCACCAGTGTAACCCCAGAAGCTGGGGAGCTGAGGCAAGGGAATGCTGCAAGCTAGAAGCCAGCTTGGGTTACAGGGCGAGTTCCAGGCCAGCCTGGGCTACAAAGTGAGAGCTTCTCCTAATTAAACAAAGGAATGGGAGCCGGCAAGATGGCTGATCTCCACGACCTACGTGGCGGAAGGAGAGAACTGACCCCCCAAGCTGTTCCCCAGCCTCCAGTGTGTGCTCTGGTGTCCCCACATGTGATAAGTTAAAAACACACTAAGTAGTGGGGTACGTCTTTAATCCCAGCACTCGGGAGGCGGAGGCAGGGGGATCTCTGTGAGTTCGAGGCCAGCCTGGACTACAGAGCGAGATCCAGGACAGTCAGGGCTCTAGGGTGAGACCTTGTCTCAGAAAAACAAAATTAAAAAAAGGGAAGAAGGAAGAAAAGAACAACAACAGAGAAATGTAATTAAATTCAAGAAATCAAAAGTGATGTTTTTTGAGACAGGGTCTCTTGTGGCCCAGGCTGACCCTCTAGTTTACCATGTAGCTGAGGATGGCTGACCTTGAACTCCCAATCCTCCTGCCTCCACCTTCCCAGTGCTGTGGTTACAGGCCTTACACCACTGCACCTGGTTTATCCTGCACTCTACCCATCTACCCACCGAGCCACAAGCACCCTACCTACTGAGCCACAAGCACCCTACCTACTGAGCCACAAGCACTCTACCCACCGAGCCACAAGCACCCTACCCACTGAGCCACAAGCACTCTACCCACCGAGCCACAAGCACCCTACCTACTGAGCCACAAGCACCCTATCTACTGAGCCACAAGCACCCTACCTACTGAGCCACAAGCACTCTACCAACTGAGCTGATTGAATCCCACCCACCAGCCACAAGGGCGCCCTGACGCCTGGGTCGGGTCCTCGCCGGATGTGGGAACCCCACTCCCACTGTCTCGTCCGTTTTTTCGCGTGGCGTGCAGACGGGTCCCGGGTGGGGCCCGGGGTCTGCCCTCACCTCGGTGGGCGCGATGCCGAAGGCCTCGGCGATCTTGGCGTACAGCTCGCGGACGTTGGTGAAGCCCTCGATCCTGCCGGTGGGGCTGCCGTGCGCCAGCTGCGTGCGGAACACCAGGCGCGGGCGCGCGCGGGCGGGGGGCTCGGTGGCCCCGGGCTCGCGGGGCGCAGCGCTGTCCATGGCGCGCGGGGTCCGCCGCGTCTCGCGCCTCCCGCCCTGGCTGTCCCTCCCGGCGACAGCTGAGCCGGGCGTAAGCGGATCCGGGAACCCGAGCCGCCAGGGGGAAGGTGAAACCGCGCGGGGACCAGCCGCGCAGCTCCCCGGGGACCCGCGAACAACAAGGGGAGCCCCCCCACCCCCCACCCCGGCTCCGGGTGCTGTGCGCGGTCCTGGGGAGCCCCGCCCCCGCCCTCCCCGCACTCCCCCCCCCCCCCCCCCCGCCCTGCCTGTCCACTCCCGCGTCCCTCCCTCTGCTCAGCCTCGCTGCTTTCCTCCCTGCCCTGCCCCAGGGCCCCTGCACAAGCTGTGACCTCCTCTGGGACTCTGTCCCCCGAGCTTCCAGTGAGTTCTTGCTCACCTGTTTATCCCAAAGACCACCTGCCGCCCGTACCTCCGAATCTCTCCTCTAATAAGTGTTGTTTTTTATTTATTTATTTATTTTTTTTAAAAGATTTATTTATTTATTATGTATACAGAGAAGGGCACCAGATCTCATTACAGATGGTTGTGAGCCACCACGTGGTTGCTGGGAATTGAACTCAGGACCTTTGGAAGAGCAGCCAGTGCTCTAACCGCTGAGCCATCTCTCCAGCCCACCACCTCAGTTCTTTTTGTTTGTTTGTTTGTTTTGTTTTTTCGAGACAGGGTTTCTCTGTTTAGCTTTGCGCCTTTCCTGGATCTCGCTCTGTAGCCCAGGCTGGCCTCGAACTCACAGAAATCCACCTGCCTCTGCCTCCCGAGTGCTGGGATTAAAGGCGTGCGCCACCACCACCCAGCCCACCTCAGTTCTTAAGTGGAGGTCTGGCATGGGTACCCCCCTCCTCCCAAGCTCAGGGAGGCCTTCCCCGACTCTGGCAGTCCCCGTCTGTCCTGGCCTGTTGTTCAGTCTCCGCCTCTGTCCGTCACACAGCGGAGCCCTAGGCCTGTGTCAACTTTCCTTTTCTCGAAAGAACACTCTATTGGCACAGTGCCCGCTCTGCCCCAACATGACCTCATCGGAGTTAATTACACCCACCGTCACCCTAATTCCTAATACGGTCATGCCTGGCGGTTCTGGGGTGAGGGCTGGAACACTTGGGGGGGCACCATTCATTGGCAGTGCACGTGTGTTGAATTGTGCAAGCTTTTAAAGACACTCTTACTATCTCAGTAACTAAAGAGAGACCCTCCCTGCAGGACTCTTCCTCAGACGAGCCAGAGTTATCTGAGACGGCTCTCTGCGACATCCGGCAGCTGAACAGTTGAATGCATGGTCAACCAGGAAGCAGGCCCAGGCTGGCCTCCGCAGGGTGACTCACCACAGCCTGGGGCACATGGACAGTCCAGGGACACACTGGAGTATTACTCAGCCGTGAAGAGAGCATGCCCCACAGTGTCACGGTGCTCAGAGAGTGAGCCAGGCATAAAAAGCCAGCGTGGCCTCTGTGACCGGAAGTGTCCAGGTCCGGTGACTCCATGGACCAGACGTGGATGGCGGGTGCGGAGGCTGCAGACCTGGTGCGGTCAGGGCTTGCTCTGGGGGATGTTCTGGAAGGCAGGAGCTGACGGCTGGAGGACCCTGTGAAGTGCGCGTTGCCTAAGGGCTAAAACAGTACAGTTCCTGAGGAGGTGGACTGGACCCGGTTTGGAAACTGGGTTGGATGAAGTGAGTGGCCTCAGGAGGGACGGACGAGTGGATCGGAGACCCCAGCCCAGCTCTGACTCAGTTTCCCCACCTGATAACAGGACAGTGAAGGACCCGAGACCCTCTGCCAGAGGTAGAAGGGCTGGCGGGGCCACCGCAGCTGGAGAATCACGGCGAAGGGGCCGGGCCCACTCCCCCAAGCCACAAGAATTAACTTGAGTGCAAACCCCACTTGTTTTCATGGAACATTTATTTAAAAGTCCGGACTGAGTGAAGGGAGGCGCTGGGGGTGGGGGCTGTACTCAGCCTCCCCGACGCTGCCATGGCTCCCCGCGCCTGCGCAGTGGGTCCCCGGGCCCTGGGTGAGCGCCCCGGAGTCGCGCTCTGCACCGGGTGGGGTGTCTCCTGTTCCTCTCCCGCTGTTGGGTGACCCTCCCCGCGAGGCAGGCAGGTCTCGCTCGGCTCTGCCACCTGGGAGCCTAGGGTTCGAAGCTAAAGGGATGCCGCTGAGATTTCACTGGGGGTCAGGTCTGGAGATCCCAGGGTGCAGCACCGGGCGCGGCCCCGTCGGGGACCCCAGCTTCCTCCTGGGTGGGTGGGAGGGGCGTCCGCCGGTCCCAGAGGCCTGTCACAGGTGCTCGCTGTGGGACAGGAGGGGTGATGGAGGCCGCGAGGCAGAGCCGAGCACTCCCCCCCGCCCGCCACACCCGCCCCCGCCACACCCCGCCCCCGGCCACACCCCGCCCCTGGCCCCGCCCCCAACCACCAGCCCCGCCCCCGGTCACCCCGGCCACACCCCGCCCCGCCCACCCCCGGCCACACCCCGCCCCGGCCACACCCCCACCCCGCCCCGGCCACACCCCCGGCCACACCCCCGACCACGCCCCGCCCCGCCCCGCCCCCGCACCTGGCCACCCGCGCCAGGATCTCCTTGACGCGCGCGATCAGTCTCTCGTGCTGCGCGGGGGTCACGCTCGATGGCTCCGTGCAGCCGCGCCATGTAGAAGTCCAGAGTCCCGAGCGTCGGCGTCTCCCCGGTGCCTGCGGGTCAGCGGGTCAGTGAGGGGCGGGGCCGGGCGCTGGGCGGGGCCGGGGAATTGGCGGGCGGAGGGGGCGGGGCCTGTGATGGGAAAGGACGGGGCGGGCCGCACACTAGGAAGGCGGGCTCTGGGGGCGGGGCCCGAGGCCAGATGGGCGGGCCCGCGCGCTGGGGGCGGGGCCAGGGAAATCAGCACGGCAGAGCCCTGGAGGAAGGCGGGGCCGCGCACCGGGCACCGGCAGGGAGGCGAAGCTGGCCGTGAGCGCCTGCCTCACGGCCTGCAGTTGCTGCTGCAGCGCCAGCGTGCGCCGCTCCTCCAAGGCCAGCTCCTGCTCCAGACGCTCGCGTGCGCTGCTCATGCTCTGCGTGTGGCGCTGCAGCACCGCGTTCTGCTCCTCGAAGGCCACGTTCATCTTCCGCAGGCGCCGCAACTCCGCCTCGCGGGCTGCGGGACGGGAGTCAGAGCCCAGGGCTGTCCGGGGCCGCCGCGCAGTCCCGGAGAGCGCTATACCCCTCCATCCCTGGCCTCACCCCGACTCCAACCCCCTCCATCCCTGGCCTCACCCCGACTCCATCCCTGGCCTCACCCCGACTACAACCCCCTCCATCCCTGGCCTCACCCCGACTCCAACCCTGGCCTCACCCCGACTCCAACCCCCTCCATCCCCCCATCCTGGCTCCACTCCCCCCTCCATCCCTGGCCTCGATCTTGACCCCATTCTCGTCCATCCCTATCACTGGCCCTATCTCCCCTCAATCCCTGACCCCGTCCCCCTCCGGCCCTGACCCCATCCCCCTTCGGCCCTGACCCCATCCCCCTCCGGCCCTGACCCCATCTCCACTTCTTCCAGCCAAGGCACCAGCACCTGCCAAAATCTCACCTTTGTTTTGGTCCAGAAACTCTTCAGTGAAGATGGGAACATCGAATGTGGAAAAGCCATCACAGTCCACACCCTGGGACATGGCAATGAGTTTGGTGGGGACCCACGTCTCTGGAACTGGGAGGGGGTCTGGGCCACGCGGGGGCAGTGCAGCCTTCTATCTGTTTTGATTTGCGTGTGTGTGTGTGTGTGTGTGTGTGTGTGTGTGTGTGTGTGTGTGTGCCATGAGCATGCAGTACCCACAGAGGCCAGAAGAGGGCGGCAGATTCCCCCAGAGCTGGAATTACAGGGGGCTGTGAATGTCTATGTGGGTGCTCGGAATTGAACCCCAGTCCTCTGCAGGGATAGCCAGTGCTCTGAAACCTGAGCCACACTGGGCTGAAGCCATGGCTTTCTATAGACCAGACGAGCACTCTGTGCACAGATTTACTCCTGTGATTTGCTTTTTTTCCTTCATGTTTATGGTTTGTTTGTTTGTTTTTGAGACAGGGTTTCTCTGTGTAGCCCTGGCTGTTCTAGAACTCACTCTGTAGCCCAGGTTGGCCTCGAACTCACTGAGATCCTCCTGCCTCTGCATCCTGAGTGCTGGGATTAAAGGAGTGCGCCACTACCGCCCGGCTCTTACTTCCAGGCTGGCCTCAAACCTGCTGCCACCCTCCTACCACAAGCTTGCACATGTTGGGAGCTTAGGTGTGTGCTGTCATGCCCACCTCATCGATAGTCAACCACAAGAAGGGCTGAAGCTCAGTGAATAGAGCGCTTGCCCAGCACAAAGCTCTGGCACGCACACTGTGCCTGTCATCCTGAACTGGAAAAGTAGAGGCAGAAAGATTGGGAGTTCAAGGCCATCCTCAGCTACACAGTGAGTTCATGGCTAGCCTGGGCTATCTGAGGCCCTCTCTTAAATGAAAAAACTTCAGTTGATTATGTGTGTGCATGGTGGTGGTGGAGCCACGGGTCCTGTGCATGCTGGACCACGATTTCGCCGCTAAGCCACGCCCCATCCCAAGATTGCTGCATGCCCAGAGTGGTCTTGCCTCTGACTGGGAAGCACATCTTGACCAGAAAAGGTCATGGTCACTTCCTCCTCTGAACTAGCGTGAAACATCCATGTCTTCTCCCCCAAGTCCTTCTGGCCAGAGAGACCCTTACCTTGTGCCCATTCAGGAGCGTGTTCATGAGCCCAGAGCCGGAGTCCTCTGATGGAGAGAGGGGAGGGTGGGTCAGCCGGGACTGCACGGAGTCGCCCTCCCATCCTCTCAGGTAGGCCTGGTCCCCTCCCAGGCCAGGGTCCACACTGGTGACTCCGTCTTGATACTAGGTAAACTTTTGGGCTTGGCACCCCGTTGAAGGCCCAGGGCCCACGCACCTTTTTTAATTTTGTTTTCTTGGATCTTCTCTGTGCAGACCTTGTAGGCCTCCGACTGCTGGTACGCCCACAGCTCCTTCAAGTATTGCTGTTTCTCCTTTTCCGCCTCGTCCAGGTACCGCTGGGAGGGGGACAGCACCCACAGACTAGGGCCAGCCCAAAGGAAGGCGGGTGGCCAGGGCCAGGACCCCGCCTCCCCCTGTACTAAACGTCCGGAGCTCCCACCTCCCCTCAGACCCTTAGAGAATAGGCCTTCCCCAGGCCTAACCGATGTCTGGCATTTTCACCTTCACCCTTTCTGACCCCCGAACTTCCATGCCCAACAGGCGCTGGCTGGTGTGTGGCTTGTGTTCGGTATTTGTGCGATTTGTACGGGTGTGTATTTGTGCGCACGCGCACGCAGACCCTTGTCCATCATTCACTGTCCTCCTTGTTCTCTGAGGCAAGGTCTCTCACTGGACCCGAGCTCGCCCGTGGGGCTTGCCTTGCTGGCCGTGAGCCCCGGGGACCCTCTTGTCTGCCGCCCCCACCTCCTCGGTCCCCACCTGCTTCTCTGCCGGCTGCAGCTTGCTCCACTCGGCGCCCAGCATCTTGGTGATCTCCGGAAAAGGCAGGTCTGGGTGGCGGGTGCGAATCTGCTCCCGCCGCTCGTTGAGAAAGCGAACGTAGCCGGTGACGGGGGCCTTGGGCCCATTGGGGAGAACCTTCTTTCTCTTCTTGCCTTTCGGCCAGCCTCTCTTCTTCACGGGCTGTAGGAGGGACTGTGTCCTTGGGAGGGGCCCTGAGCCGTGTGGCCATGGCCCTGGGCCGTGTGGGCGGGGCCTAGCTCAGGGACAGGGCTGCAGGTCAAGGGTCTGAAGTCTGGAGAGTCAAAAGAGGGGGTCCTGGGGCAAGACTGAGCCTGCCCCGGTGGCGCTGAAGCCAGGGACAGGCTAGGGCGGGGCGGGGCCTCTCGCTAGGCAGTGGGAGTGTTCTCTATGGTGTGGACCTGGCAGGGGTGTGACGCCGGACCGGGGCGGGGCTCGCAGGTGGTGACTCACCTCCTCCTCCTGGGACCCCTTCTCTCCCGCACGGGCGCCCTCGCTGCGCTCTTGTTTGACAGCCACTACGAAGGCCCCGTGCTGGCCTGGAGTCTTGCTTCCCGCAGGCCTTGGGGACATGGGAAACCAGGGTCATCCCCCACGCCAGAAGCGTTCCCCCATACCCACACAATCACCTCTGGGGGCTGGAGATCACAGAAGTGTGTGGAAGCGCACTTGAGCCCGGGGAAAGGGGGGGAGTGGGGACCCAGCGTTTGGGGACCCGAGAGCCACCGTAGGCCACTGTGGGAACAGTCCAAGGATTTCAAGCTGGGGACGGGGTGGGTGTGGGGCCGTCGGGATGCCTGGGAGCAGGATGAGGTAGTGAGGGAGACCGTAGGGTGCCCTAGCAATTCTGGCGCGAGTACGGACCCTAGAGTCAGAAATCTCCGAAGAGTGACAGGATATAGCCAGAGGTCCCAGGAGTGGGGGTAAGGCAGCTAAGGGGCAGGGACAGGACCAGACCACGGTTCCCAAAACAGGGGTACCCAGGGGAACGACAGGGCATACTCAGAGGTACGGGAGGGTGGGGACAGGCATGTCTGGAGTACCCTGAGCTGGGGATAGGGCATTTCTAGAGTTACATGGGAGTGGGGACGGGGCATGTCCAGTTCCATACCCAGGGGTGGGGACAAGGTATGTCCAGGGGCCTGGGGGGTGCAGAGGGGCGTGTCTAGGGGGTAGCCGGGGTGAGGACATGGCATGTGTAGGGGTACCCAAGGATGGGGACGGAGCATGTCCAGGGGTACCCAGGGAGGGGACAGGCTGGGAGAGGCGCACTCACGCGGTGGCCCCGCCTGGCTGCCGGGGGCCGTGGGACATGGCCTCTCTGGGCGGGACCTGGAACGGAGGGCGGCAGAGGTCAGGGGGGTCCCGCCCGCCTCCCCGATGGGAACCCCAGGACGGTGCCCAGGGCGCCCGGGGGAGGGGGAGGCGGATCCTGGGGCGGGGAGGTCCTGGGGCGGGCGGCCCCGCGATCCTTTGTTGCGAGATCGAGTCCCGGAGGCCGCGCCCCGCGCCCCGCAGCCCCCGCCCCGCGCAGGCCCCGACTTCCCGGCTCTTTTCACCTCCGAAAAAACTTTCCCGGGACCCGGGATGCGGCGACGCTCCAACCAAGCCGCCCGCGGCAGCCCCGCCCATATGCTAATGAGGCCAAGCACAGCGCTCCAATTGGCCAAGAACTCCACGAGGGGCGGGGTCATGCAGATTAGTCTCGGCGCGCCCGGCGGTGATTGGCTGAGAAGCTGCGGAGCCGCGTGGGAGGTGCGTCGGGCAGGTTGCGGGCGGGTGCGTCAAGTTCGGCTGCGCTTGGACGCGCTCGGGACCAATCGGAGGCGATTGGCTGCTCGCTATGGGGCGGAGCTCCTTAAAGGGCAAGTAGTCCCCATGCTGATGCGGGACCTGGAGTGTGGAGATGAGGACCGGGTCCTCGGTAGAGGGGACGTTCTCAGTAAGTTTCCGAGGAAGGAGTTAAATTCCAAAGAGGCAACCCCCTGCGGTAGGGCAAGGTGTACTTAACTCTTTTTATTTTTCCCGAGACAGGGTTTCTCTGTGTAGTTTTGGTGCCTGTCCTGGAACTCACTCTGTAGACCAGGCTGGCCTCGAACTCATAGAGATCCACCAGCCTCTGACAGTGCTGGGTGTCAGAGTGCTGGGATTAAAAGCGTGCACCACCGCTGATGTGCTTACTCTTACCACACTGAAAAAAAAAAAAAAAAGTGGGCTGATGAGATGGCTCCGCACTTGAAGGAGACTGCCACCTAGTGGACAGCGTGAGTTCTGAACTCACAAGGTGGAAAGTGGAACCGGGGGAAAAATAAATGAATGAATGAATGAATAAATAGATAAATAGCCGGGCGGTGGTGGCGCACGCCTTTAATCCCAGCACTCGGGAGGCAGAGCCAGGCGGATCTCTGTGAGTTCGAGGCCAGTCTGGTCTCCAAAGCGAGTTCCAGGAAAGGCGCAAAGCTACACAGAGAAACCCTGTCTCGAAAAACCAAAAAAAAAAAAAAAAATAAATAAATAAATAAATAGATAAATAAATAAAATGAGCTGGAGAGATGGCTCAGAGGTTAAGAGCACTGGCTGCTCTTCCAGAGGTCCTGAGTTCAATTCCCAGCACCCACATGGCCGCTCACAACTGTCTGTGACTCCAGGTTCAGGGTTCCCGTACCCTCACACACATACGTGTAGGCAAACCACCAATGCACATGACAGGGGGGGCGGGAGGAGAGCGAGAACCCATTCCCGCAAGTTGTCCTCTGAGCCCCACCGTGTGCTGTGACATGCGCAGTCCCCCCTACACAACAAAATAAACACGTGAACGTGTGCTTTATACACGGTGGACTGGGAGGTGGTACACGGAGGACTGGGAGGTGGTCTGTGTATTCTCTGACCCCGGGTCGCTGATTTTCCTTCCCATGGAGCCTTGATTTTGCCCTCTGAACAAGGGGTACATTGAACCATATAGCAGGCTAGCAGGCTGGAGGCTTCTCAACTGACACCTGGACCTGGGACAGAGGCTGGGCGGACAGCGTCACCATACAAAGGCATTTTGAAGGACAGCTGTGCCTGGTGAGATGACTCAGCTGGCAAAGGGACTTCAGGAGGACCCCAAGAACTTGTATTTGATCTCCATTATTTGAATAGAAAATACCTCAGTTGCTAAAGGTGATTGTCACTCTAGTCTTTCATAACTTCCACAGTCAAAGAGAAATTGAAGAGGATTGGAGAGCTGACTCGGTGGTTGAGAGTGCCTGTTTCTCTTGCAGAGGACGTGGGTTCGATTCCCAGCACCCGCTTGTCTGCTAAAAAACCATCTGTAATTCCAGTCCCAGGGTATCTCTCTTTTGCCCTTCCTGGGCATGAGGCAAGCACATGGTACACAGACATACATACAGGAAAAATAACTCATAAAGTAATAAGTCAAACTTTTTTAAAAAGACAGAAAGGCCTGAAGATATGGCTCAGTGGTTTAAAAGCAAAAAACACATATTGCTTCCAGTTTGGTACCTGGTAGTCACACTGAGGGCTGGGGGCGTGGTCAGGGTGGATCCCGCCTAGAATCCCCCAGTGAGGGGCTGGGGGCGTGGTCAGGGTGGATCCCGCCTAGAATCCCCCAGTGAGGGGCTGGGGGCGTGGTCAGGGTCTTCCCACCATGCACTGGGGGTCTTGTGCTCTGTCCTTCCACACTGCAGTAAACTGAACCACAAACCCTATGATGGTGTAACTTTGGACTAATCACAATGTAGGTGACTCATTAGACACATGGTGATTACGCCACGTTTCTGTGGGACCACACAGATACGCACACTTGCAAGCCTTAATGGCAGGTGCCAGTGACTCACCCAAACTCACAGACTGGAGGATCCTGAGCCCCTCCAGGGAGGTGAAGCAGTCAGAGGGGACCCCTTAAGATAAGGTTGGGTAGCCGGGCATGGTGGCGCACACCTTTAATCCCAGCACTCCGGAGGCAGAGCCAGGCAGATCTCTGTGAGTTCGAGGCCAGCCTGGGCTACAGAGCGAGATCCAGGACAGCCCGGGCTACACAGAGAAACCCTGTCTCAAAAAAAAAAAAAAAATTTTTTTTTAACTATTTATTAAAAGCGCCGGTGATCGTTGAGAGCCACCATGTGGTTGCTGGGAGTTGAACTCAGGACCTCTGGAAGAACAGTCAGTGCTCTTAACCACTGAGCCATCTCTCCAGCCCCCATTTTTTTTTTTTATTCAGGGTCTCACTAAATTGCCGGGTGTAGTGGGAATCTAGTAGTCATTGTATCTAAGGTAAACATTAGAATATTACAGTTGTTTCTCGCTGTAGCGGGTAACAGTTGCATGTATTAGTGTTTGTTGAAAGTACCTAGACTTTGAAGAACTCACAGCGGAGAACTGTGGTTGTTTTCTATGGATAATTTACAGAGTTGTTTTTCTGAGGAGGTTTTCCATCTGTTGCATGACTTTGGTCACAAGACTACCCAGGCACACTTGGAGGTCCTGAATGATGGTGTCCTGCTGCAAACAGTGTACCATCGGGACTGAAGTTTGAGGGCTTGGGATGAGTTCCTTCAGGGAACGTACAGAATAGATGAAAGGTGCTTCGGTATGAGGAACTCACTGTACCCCAAACACAGCCTTTGTGTGCACTCAGTAAGTACGCTTCTGAGCATAGGTTCCAGGTTCAGTCCACAGAAACCCTCCCTTCCTGCTGCCAGAGACCTGAAAATTACATTCTGGGGCGACCCTCTTTCTTTGACCAACCATGTCATGCAGAACACCCAACAGACCATGCTGCCATTAAACTTGCAATCCTCCTGTCTCACCCTACCTTTAAACCTTTAATGTGAGGTCTCGGGACAGAGCTCAGAGGTAGAGCATTCGCCTTGCAAACAACAGGCCCTGGGTTCCTTCCCTATCAGTTTAGCAACCTACACAAACTAATGGCTTCTCAAAGCTTGGAACAGTGCTACACCAATCCCAGCACTCAGGAGGCAGAGGCAGGTGCAGGCGGATCTCTCTGAGTTTCTGAGTTCCAGGCCAGCCCAGTCCACAGAGTGAGATCCAGGACAGCCAGGGCTACAGAGGGAGACCCTGTCTCAAAAAGAACCAATATAGCCGGGCGGTGGTGGCGCACGCCTTTAATCCCAGCACTCGGGAGGCAGAGCCAGGCGGATCTCTGTGAGTTCGAGGCCAGCCTGGGCTACCAAGTGAGTTCCAGGAAAGGCGCAAAGCTACACAGAGAAACCCTGTCTCGAAAAACCAAAAAAAAAAAAACCCAATATAAAATAAATAAATAAATGAAGTTAAAATTTAAAGACACATGTTGCCAGATCAAGCCCAGCACTCTTTGTCCCGAGAGACGGTTCTCATCCCTATTGAACAGTGAGGGAAACTGAGGCCTATTGACTTGCCCTGACACCTGACCGTCCTCTCCAGCCACCCTCAGATCTCAGAACATTATCACAGACTTGGAAATCCCAACCCCCCCTGCCTGTCAGCAGATCTGGTCCCCACTACATCAAAGCTGGCCCCCACACCCTGAGGCTGGACTCCAGCCACCAGGACATCCGATGCCCAGTGGATGGATGGAAGCGTGGGCTTGGCGTCCAAGGCTGCGGGACGCTCAAGGACATCAAAGGCTGTCAGGGTCTGTTTGGACTCCCAGCCCATGTGTCCTGCCCCGGAGGGTCCAGGGGATGAATCCTTCTTGCTAACCTTCCTCTTAACTGGTCTTTTTTGACCTTTGCCCGACTCCAAAGCCTTTCCAGGGGCACAAATCCCTTCCATTCATGAGTTTAGATGGAATCATTCCCCTCCCTCTGTTGGGCTCTTTATGTGGCATTGTCTCTCACGGCCGGAGATCCTGCATCCTGGGGTGAGGGGTCCAGCTTTGATCCTGTCTGACCCAGAAGGCCCTGCTCTCAGGCCTGCCATGGCTCCCCAATGCCCTCACTGACCCTCAGTTTTCAACCTGCCCCTGGACCACGGTTTCCTGGTGACTTCACCGACTAGGGAGGCACAGGGGAGGGGGTGGGGTAGAGAGTCAGGGCAGGGGAAATCAAGTGGGCCAGAAACCCAGAAACAGCCCATTGCTGCTGGGTTGGCTCAAGAGGCTGCCGGAAGCTGAGCACATTGCCTGTCACCCCAGCATTTGATGTGGGGTCAGGAATTCAAGGTCTGTCTTGGTTATGAGAGAGTTACAGGCCAGCCTGAGGTACATGAGACTCTGGCTGTAAAATAAAATAAGCCGAGGTTAGGGCCGTAGCTCAGTAGATGGAGAGTTGTCCCAGCTTGTATGAAGCCTTGGGTTCTGTCTCCAGCAACTGAATAAATGGGCTTTCATCCCAGCACACGGGAGGTCCAGGCAGGAGGATCAGGAATTCCTGGGCTACAGGGGGAGTTTGAGGCCAACCTGGGTTACAGGAGATCTTGTCAGCAAATCCAGGCCTCTGGGGTGGCTGGGGACTTGGTTAATGAAAAGGACGGGAACAGAAATCACTCTAGGCCTGACCAACCAGCGGTTTAAACAGCCACTTAGAGCTGTTAGTCCAGGTTGTCTCTGCCGGGTTCCGCCCTCCAGCCGGTGGCCTGGCCCGGAGCCTCGGTTGCTACATCTGTGAAGTTTTGGTCAAACCTTGAGAATTAGATGCCAGCCTGAGGTAGACGTTCTCTGGGAGAGGCAGGCAGGAAGCCCACCCTGTGGAGGCTTCTACTGATCCCTGTCTCTCCCTGTCTCTTAATCTCCTCAGGCCAAGGACCATGAGCTCCTGTTATCTGCGGCCCAGCCCAGGCCAGGTCATCTTCCCAGAGGAGGCTGGGACACCCTCTCTGTGGCCCAGAACCAGATTCTCCTGCCTCCAACTGGCTAGAGCTGGGATGGAAGTCTATATATTTACTTATTTGAGACAGGGTTTCTCTGTGTAGCTCTGGCTGTCCTGGAACTCCCTCTGTAGACCAGGCTGGCCTCGAACTCAAGAGATCCGCCTGCCTCTGCCTCCCGAGTGCTGGGGTCGAAGAAGTGGCCTTGGTCACTTCCGACATATATTGTTGGGTGCGCAGAGGAAGGCTTGTAGGCAAAGGAGGGAGTAGTCTCATTTGGGGGTTCAGAACCAGGCTATGTATCTCTAAGTGCCCCCGGAGGAAGGCTCTGTGTGGTCATGGAGATACATCACCCCAGCATCAGGAGCTGAGGTCCAAGGCTAGACCAGGCTATGGCATGAGACCCTTCATATTAAGGTGCTCTGGCTGTAGT